AGAGAGAGAGAGACGAACTCAGAAAAACCAAAAAAAAAATACAGAAAAGAAGAAGAAAACGGATATTTTTAGTCTTAGGGATTTATTTATTTTTCTTTTTAAAGCTAGCGAAAAAGGAACAAATAGTGAATTGGGTATATTTCTAGTGAGAGAGAAGAAAAACGAAAAGGGAAGAAGAGGAAGGATCTCTCTCTCTATATATTTTTCAGCTGTTTATGTGGAATAAGCAGAAGAAAAGGAAGAGGAGGAAGACGGCCTAATAGTATAAAATAAGATAAACATTACGATCATCAAACCCTAGGTAAGCACTTCAATTTTTCTTTGATTCTCTCTTAATTCCTTCATGGTTTTTTTTGCATGCTCTATTTGGTTTTAGATTTTCATCTTCCCTGTTTTTTGATGATGCATGTTTATTTACTCGTTTGCATTTCTTCTTATTTGAAGTGATTCATCATCTGGTTGATTGAGGAATGGTAAGGTTTAGTGGTTTATTGCTCGCCTGTTAGTTCAGAATTGTAGGGCTGAACTTTCGTTTTTGTTTATTGGTTGTTTCGTTTCAGTTAGGGCTTGCTGCTTTAGAATTGAGTTGTCTTGTTCTGAATCCATTTCAATTTTCTTTGTCGATTTTGAAGTTCATCCTCCCAAAAAACTGAAGAAAAGAGGTAACGACCCCGTATTGTTAATTTGATAAACAATATTTCGTCGTTTTTGGGATGATTTTCTTCATATGTGGACCACATTTTCAATAAATTTTTCATTTGTTTGATAATTTTCTTTATCCATTTTCATTTTTTTTTCCGCCCCGTTTCTTCCTGGCTTTGTACAAATTCATCTTATTGCTTCTCATTCTTTTTGTATCTCACTACGCAATTCTTTTGATTTCAGTGCTTTGTACTAATTCATCTTGGGTGTTTGTTATTGCTTCGCATTCTTTATGTATCTCACTATGCAATTCTTTTGATTTCAGTTTGAGTACCATTTGGTCATGATCGTCTATGATGCTATTGTTTACTAATCCATATAAATCCTTCTCTCTTTCTACCGCAATTTCTATCTCTTATCTCTTATTTCTATCTGTGAGACTATGTTGATTCTGTTGAAAAGCATATTTGGATCAAATGCGACACTCGTTATGTTCACATTATATGAGAATGCCTTTTTTTTTTCCCCTTTATTTTAGATATATATTATCTTATTGAGCTTATGTTGGGAAAAAAATGAAAATTTATTATTTGACATTTTCCCATTTCTTTTGATTTAATTTCAACCCACCCCCACCCCCAAACCTAAAAAAAAAAAACGACATGATCATGAAGTGGAATTGTTGAGAGGTGTAAAATGTTAAGTAGTTGATAAGTCAGGTGTATTCTGATAAATTTCCCAAAGACAAACCTGAGAAAATGCATAGGAATTGAAAATAAGTGAAAGAAAAAATAACTTGCTGGCTATATAACTGGAAAAATCGTAAGCTTTGTTGAGCTTCAAATATGCTAGAAAGTGGCAAAGAAAACAAATTAGTGAGACTTTACCTGAAAGGAATCTTGCGAAGCAGTGAGCAATTGTAGAAGGGATCCATTGTAAAGGTGGGAAGTTTTACAGAAGGCCGAGAGACGATGGCCATGAGTTTGATTGTCATGTAAAGGTGTGAAGAAACTATACTGGAAAGAGATCAAGGTTTGAAATCCATTTGACATATCGAGTTTCTAATAGAATATTTGAACCCTGCACTTGAAAGCAGTTGCTTGGGTGGATTGTCTAAGGCAGGAGGTTTAGGCGCTCACTTACACCCCCACTTGAGAACAACCTAGACCTGGCACTCTCTGCACAGGCGTTGTGTACATGCCTGACTCAGATTTGGGTTTTAATAGTTTTTATTTATCTTTTCCCCCTTCGATATGATTTGTGGGAGTTTATATTTCTCCTGATAGAACATTCTAAATTCTTATTTTACATCTGGGAGAAGCGATTAGAAACTCGGTGAGTTTGACGCAGAATCAGCACCCTGGATTTTTGGTGACCCGGTCTCTGGTAACCCGAGTCGTGACGGTTTTTGACTGAGTTTGCCTGAGTCTGTCTGGGACTTTAGAAAGCCAGTGACTGGTCCAAGTCTTGAACTGTCAGAATTGGGACTCATTGAGTTGACTTGGACCCATCCCTGTCCTCTGTGTTTTTAGACATTGTTCACGAGGATAAAAAGCAAACAAAAATTATTTCGGATTTATTTTTAGTTTGGGAAAGGTGGGAGAGAACCCCATATTTAGGGGTTGAATGCTCACAAGGCATTTCTGTTTTGATTATCTACTACAAGTTTCCAGGTTTTTGTATTTTAGTGTTTTTGACTCTTTAGTGTTTGTATGTTCCATATGTGAAGCTTAGACATGGTCTTTGAGACATTGTTAATTTGTTAATCTTTTTGAGATATCATTTGTAATGTATTAGTTCTTGTGTTACTTCTATTTTATATCCTATTTGGATACAAAATGTATGAATTGGTCTCCGGGAGTTGACCAACAAGTATGCTCTTCTTAAATTGTTTTCGTTAATGAGTTATGAGAACAATTATCTGTTGTTATATATAATTAGAAACTCTTTCTGTTGTTCTTCTAGAATTAGAAGTTCCTTGTGGATCAATCTCTTACATTGTCCATGTTAAAGCTAAAAATGATAAAGAGAGAATTTTGAATGAATTATGTGACATATTACCATTGTGCAGTGACCAAGATCTATATGTAGATGATAGATGATTAATACATGAGATTACTGTGTATGTTACGCATGCATATTTTTTATTTTTATTTTAGTTTTGTTTGTAAGTTTCCACTGCTTTGTAAAGTTAGGGGGGCGCCTGGTGCTTCTCAGGTCCTCAAACTTCTAAGAGGTGCTTGCCTTTTCTTTCTAAATATATGTTTCATTGTTAGTATCAGATGTATAATAAAGATAGGGCTCTAATCTCAAGTTTGATTCCTACAATGAAACTACCCCAAATGAAAAAACAGGATCGTAAGGATAAGAACAGGATATGACTGGATCAATGGAGAGTGGGTGATAATTATGAGTTTGTGATGCTCCTGCCAAGTTGCTGGGATGACAAGAAACTGGAAGGATGAACTAGGTATGTTGTTGAGGTTACTCAATCTGTTGACCAATGTCCGACTGCTGTGATGGTTACAGATTGGCATGAAAAAGATGAAATAATGTCATCTGTTTAGGGAGACCAGTCCTTCATCGGGATAGCATATCTGCCTCTGAAAGGAATAGGCCCTGAAATGTGCATTATGGAGATTATGCATATCATGGACATGATACATTTGCTTTGATCACCTCGGAAAATCTGCAGAAGCAATTATGTGCGTTTTCAATAGCATTTAACTATTTCAAAGACATTAGACATTCAATCTTAAGATGCACTGGTTGTGTGAATTGTGAACTAGACCATACTCTTAGGAATGTACTATTTCATGGGCCCTTAGTTTCAAAGATTCATTTGATCGCTTTTCAAGGTAGATCTCAATGGTTTTAGCTGTGAGAATCTGATGCCCTCCTGATGACCTTGAAGCAAACTCTGAATTGTAGGTTTGGTACTTTGGTTATCAAGTTTGCAGAGATCCTTCATAAATCTATTCTGAATTATAGTCAGTAGTTAAAGTTGGTCATGGTCTACTTAATTTGTCTTGTCAAGACTGCTTTTGGGTAAATGTAAAATATAGGTGGTTCCCTTTTGGTTTGTAAACCCTTCGATTCTTGCTATTTATAAAAATGTAAAGTAATCCTAGAATTTTGGTGTTTAAGGATGTTACCTGCTATCATGTGCAAGAATCCATCTTGGCAAGTTTGATCATATGGAATGAGCTCATCCTAAATCAAAGGGAATAATTTTGGGAAATGGAGGAAAAATATATGGGAACTTCTGTCACAATGTCATGGTCCATGGTTAACGAAGATCTTTTTCACTTGAGTGTGCAATTTGATTTTGCAGTGGTGGTGTAAACATTTTTCCATGTAGAGTGAGGCCTGAAGGGGTTGAACTGCTATTGTTATTATAAGCGGGACAACTAGCAATGACATGTCTACCTTGGGGTAGGCCAATTCTTAGACAGCCATAGGGATGTGTCTATTTCCTTACAAATGGATTTTAATCTGTGGAGTGTTAACTTCATTTTCTTGTATTTCTCACTTGGTTGTGGAGAGATTGATCATTACAGTACTCTCAAACTGATTTAGTATGCATCTTATGATATTAGATATATGCATTTGATACTTGAAGATATCCATTGGATGTGAATATCTTATGGGTTTACTGAGGTTTCCAATGTAGGAAATTCATGCACCATTTGGTTTCTTGTTGTAGTTGGATAAACGCCCCAGTTTCTCTTCTTAGCGTAGACTGGGTTATCGAAATGGTCGTATTGAATCGGAATGGTGTGGATTTAGTTAGTTGCTCCATTGCACTTTGCGAATGGCATCCTTTTGGATAGCAAAGGTGGTTAGGGCTTAAAAGCCCTTCTCGTGCCAGGTATCTCCATTACATTTACCCACTCCTCTCCCCCATTTTATTAATCACACTATGCTTGTAGATGCATCTATAATTTTTCTTGATGAGTAGATGGTTTATTAATTAATTTTCATTTGAGAACTGCGGGGAATTTGATATGCAGGAAGCTGGTGTTTTGATATATCTTCCAGTTGTGGCACCATCATTACCACAATTATTTTGTTTTTGACATAAGATTTCTAGACTTCTCCGAATTACCCATGTTTGGGAAGGAGCTTCCTCTCTCAAAGTTTTCAACTTCTGAGTACGATCCAGACATGGGTTGTTGTAGCTGCTTTGGTTTCTTGAGGAAGCCCTATGATAAGTCAGTGAAGCCTGCACATGGATTTGGTAATCATTTCTCTCAAGAATATTTGTTGACAGATGATCTGGAGGATGTTGATGGTGTTTCTTATAAAGTAGGGGCTGACTTTTTCCACGCAAGTGCCAGTGGCTTGCGGCGGTGTAATAATAACTCCGAAGAGACTTCCATATTTGCTTTGCCAGATGGAATAATATGTAGGGAAACTCCTGTCAAGGCGACTCACCATGTTACTCGTGCAGAGGTAAGTTGCTAGGAATAATCTCAGAAGTCCTCTGTTCTCTAGATTTTGGTTTTTGTTTCATAATTTTCAGTGTATTCTAGCTGTATGTATATGGATAGAATACTCTTCGTAATTCTATCCGTACGAGTAAATGGAACTTTTCATTATTCTATCTGTATGTATATTGATAGAATACTCTTCGTAATTCTATCTGTATGAGTTAATGAAAAATATTACTCTTTCTGCATATTATGGCAATTTATTTATTTATTCTAGGAAATTTGCTTATTGCACAGATGATATTGATTAAGCTTTCATGAATAACGTGGTTATGCTTCCTTTGAATTGCTATCATATTTTTGCTAGTAATATCTCTTTGAAATGAACAGAACTATAGCTGTCCCAAGAATTAACTGAGCTCCCAAATTGCCTGAAACGGCTATTTCCCTGGGTTTCCCGAACTTGTTATTTTTTATTTTTTCAATCAATGGGTTTCCCAAGGACTGTATGTACCAAAATGAATGTATGCATATTGCCTTCCTCTTTTGAGCTCTCAGTTATCCAAACCTTCAGTTAAGTCAAGGGATTTGGCATGGGCTCTGGTTAGCCCCTAGCCATGATAGTAAAACACATCATCTTTTTGTGGTGTCACAAGCTTACCACTTGTGGTTTATCCTCAACTGGATTTAAGAAATTGAATACTTGCTCTTATGCATATATTATTGTTGCTGAAAGAAAATCATTTCTGGACTTCGTAAATAGCAAATCATGTGAGTAGTAATTTCTGGACTCTGTACTCTTGCAGGATGATAATGGAAATAAGATGATTAATGAATATGTTCGGGAGTTTAAGATTGGTTCTGGCAGTTATGGTAAAGTGGTAAGATTATTGCTTTAATAGTTCACATTGCTGCTAGTACAAGCATGAAAATGGTGAAGCACATAACTGTTATTCTATTTGAGCAGGTGTTGTATCAAAGTAGTATTGATGGAAAGCGGTATGCTATCAAGGTCAGTGTTTGTTCCTTTCCCATTTGGAGGTGATGGACAAAGTTAAAATAATTTTATTTTATTTATTATCTCGTTTGGATAGTCCGATTTGTTGTGGTTGAAGCTATCTCTTATTATTTTTAAAGGGCATCTTGAGTGATTTGTGAATCATATGCTATTTTTCTATTTTTTTTTTTTATCTTCCTTTGGGTTGACCATCTTGGTAAAACTATCTTTCAGGATTACATGCATCTCATTCATTTTGGTTTCTTCTGATTTGTTATTGTCTAAAATTTTTTTCTCCCGAGGTGGTTGATTTTCAGCTGAAAACATCACGGCCTATGCACAGGATTTTATTTCAGATATCTAGACAATCAAAATGATTTATCTATCCTGGTCAGTCGTTTAGCTGAAAGAAAGCATTTAATCATGATCAGCCTCTCATGGATATATCTATAGCGTAGGCGGTTATAATACTTGGCCTTTTATTCGTGTATATGATGCTTCTATGTGCAAAACAGACATTCAAAATTGCATTCGTATCTCGGTAAAATGTCTATCTTAGGCTATTATTTGAAATCTCCTGTGTGTTTGTTTTTGCAGGCTTTCCACAAGTCTCGATTATCAAAATTGCGTGTAGCCCCTTCTGAAACTGCCATGACGGATGTTCTTAGGGAGGTGTGTTTGCTGCATTGTTATGTTTGGTTTCACACTGCATGAAATTTGATACTTCGGTGGATCTAGTTAATTATCTTGATTTGTTTGTCATGGGTGTTAAGGATCCCAATGATTTTAAGATTGGTTAGTGCGGGCTCGTTTTGAAGAGTTCACAGAATATGCTTTGATACGGGACATAAAGAAAAGAAAATGACACTCGTCTCAGTATTCCCGTATAAAGAAGAGAAAATGACACTCCTCTCAGTATTCTGGCCTTCTATTTTTCTCTATATTCACTTCTGTTATTATCTTTGGCAAGAGAATGGAATGATCCATTTCACTTTATCAAGTTATGGACTCCTTGATGTTTGCAGAAACTCTTTTATTGGAATTATAGAATACATCATCCATAATAATAGCTGAATGATATAAGCATCCAGGTCACCTGGATTGCGCTGGCTTATTTATTTCAAAGGTGTGCTTGTCATGGGAAGCTTTTCTGTGGTTTGCATCATACTGATTCTCTTTGGATCTTTAAGCTAAATGGTTTTAAATGGCTTTAGTCCTCTAACATACTGTGTTATTGTGGGTGAGAATTTGGAAATCTTGTCTATTAATCTCCCCAAAAAGAGAAGGAAGTGTTGGAAGTCTCTTAGGTTTAGATGTTTAATTATCAACAACGCTATCTTTTTACAAGCTGCCAATTAATATCAATCTAACTCTCATTCCAAGGTTTATTATACTTTAAATGACCGCCTATAAAAGGAGGGATAGTTTTTGGATTTAATTGTTAATACTTGAGTAACTGTCCTATTTTAGGATTTAGAGAAATTGAAAAGAGACCCAAAGATCTAGTTTAGTACCTGAGTGTAAAATCATTTAAATTTTTTTAGAAACCCAATAATACCTTCATGGGTTCCTAAAGAAATGGACACATCATATTCAATGAAGGGCATGATGTCATACTTGGAGGAGTGGATGACTTGGACATGGGGCAGTCGATTGAGTTGCTGAATCTGACACAAGCCAGGAAAGTTGTGGATGAGGCTTAAAGTGACTAGCATTCAACCCATGCGATGCATGGGAGGTAGATAGAAGAAGCCAAATATTGATACTGGTACGGCCTTTAAGGCAAAACTCATCCCTGTTCAATTTCAGGTCATAAAAAAACAAAATTTTGCCTTTCACTCAAAAGAAGTTGCTGAGTCAACTCGACTTATCCCGTAACTTTTATTCATAAATAAAAGACTCAGGATATGGCCTAGTACATCGTACTATATAATAATTATTGTTGTTTTGACACAAATTTCATATTCTGATGTGATAAGAATGCTACTCTGAAATAGTGACAAGCTGGGTTCATATGGCATTATGAACATTTTATATTTTTTTTGCAAATCTTCACAATATTTGGAAAACTCATCCAAGTTTTTCTGGGTTGACTGTTTAACGTGGCGTGCCAACTTGGTCTTGGCACTGCTGAGTCAGTATATATAGGAATCTAACCTTAACAACCCTTCAAACTACAAAGGTTAATGTTAGAATCAGTTGTGAAGGATGGATTTACCAAATATGTGGTTTTCTTTACTGAGAAATTACTTTTTATGGGTAGCTTGTCATTAAGCAAGGGTACATGTACAATACGTACTTTTTGTCTTCACCCAACACAACCAATTTTAGAAAAAATTACAAACACCCCATCCTCCAATTGCAAAATTCGCCGGCCCTAACAAAATCATGTTAAGGAAATTTTCTTAACCGCTTGTTTTGCACACACATTTTCTACACCTTTGCAAATATGTTTTTGAAAAAAATTGAAAAAAAACCCTAAAAAATGGTTCTTTGAGGAGAGAGAAAATATGTTCAACGCTAACCACCCATTTTGATGCTTTGTCAAATCTGAAGTTGGATGAGCTCCAAAATAGTTTTTTTTTTTTTTTTTTTTCTGGTTGTTGAAATTGTTCATCTTGTGCTTTTAAGACCATTCCCAAGATTTGGCATCAAACGATCCCGTTAGGTGGGATTTTAGAGCGTGGCGAAGCGTGGATGCACACGTATGTTTATATATATACTGTATGTATGTATGAATGCATGTAGAGAGCATCAGAGTGAGTCGATTTAGAAAATTGGGCAGTGAGATAAAGAATAAGATAGAAAGAGGGAGGGAGGAAGGGTTGTGGGGGGTGGGAAGGTATGGGTGGATGGAAGAAGGGGGTGTTGAGATTAGCATATTTTAGGGAAACAACGATAAACTTTACATATATTTTAGAAATAAGATATCATTCTGGCTCTTAAGATGCTCCAACATAGATATGGAGGGCAGGGATGCGAATTTGTATTTATCAAAACCCAGGGAATATATATGGTTTATGTATCCTATTTAACACAATGAGAAGCATATATTATGGCTTTTGTATAGGCTTGAGGTTTCTGATTCATTATCCAATGAAAAAAGACTCACTATGAACAGATAGGAAGGAAGGAATGGATAGACGATGCAGTTAATTGGAGAGGAACCAAGCTTTTAAATTTCGACCATTAGAGTTTTTGACATGACAGGTGTATCCTTGCTATTAATTACATAATTAATATTGCTAAGTTTTTAACGTGAAGCCTTATATCACGAAGCAGCCCGAAAATGTTAATTGTTAATCATCTTGAAAGCTTGTGATACATGGAAAGGAGAAACGCTATAGGTAGAAAGAGAGTCCGACTGACAGCTCCTAAGCAGGGGTATTTTGGGAACAAAATCTGATGCATGCTCCACCCGCTGACAAACCAGTACTAAGGGCCTGTTTGGGTGGAGCATCTTACTTCTAGTAACTCTACAGTGCTATTATACTATTTGAAAGAGAAAACCAGGAGCTTGGTCTGCTCTTGCAATTTAAGAATTCCCAGATTTCATCGTCCTGTTTACCATAGAATCCCCTGCTATGGGCACTAATTTTCAATGTTGACAAGCTCTCTTTCGTTAATTGGAAGTAAAAGTGAGGGAGCGGTGGACTTACAGAAATGTGCAAACATGCCCGATATAGGATAGATTTGAGACACATGACAAATAGAGGATTACTAGGAAACTTGCTAGTTGACTCATGGTGTTTTTTATTTCTAAATGAAAATCTTGGTAGTCTACAGGACCAATAGATAGAATCCCTTTTGCATTCTATTTTAAAGCCTTTTTGCGGCAGTTACTGCTGGAACGTGGCTAGGAGATTGATGCTTTGTACTTTATTTCAGGTATTAATCATGAAAATGCTGGGCCATCCTAACATTGTTAATCTTATTGAGGTCATTGATGACCCAGACACAGATTACTTCTACATGGGTACTATCAATTCTCTAGCATATTTTCCTTGAAGCTACCTCAGAATTTCTTATTGATTTATTGCTTCATTGTGAACTTTCTTGGTGTCCTTATGTCTTCTTTTTCTTTGCGAGTGTCATTTCTTTTTCTATTTATATTTTTGATTGTTGCTTTTTTAGTTCTCGAGTATGTGGAAGGCAAGTGGATATGTGAGGGATCTGGTCCACCTGGTGGAATTGGGGAGACTACTTCAAGAAGATATTTCCGGGATGTAGTTGCGGGGCTCATGTATCTGCATGCCCATGTGAGTTGGGGTGTATTTATGGTACCTCTATGTGTGTGTTCTTGTGTTTATATCTGTTACTTTTATATGATAAGTATTTTGTTATTATAATTATAAATATTGATCTCCTCTCACAAACACAAAAGGAAAAAGTTTATATAAGGTTGCAACCTTATATGTAGAACTACGGATGCACCTCAAGAATCCATCGGAAAAGGTAGTTTTAATGTTGAAAACCTTTAATTGATCATCTCGACATTGAGATGTATGACCATGAAAAATAAAAAGATTTTAAGTCTCAGAAATAGTGCATTTTACAACATACACTGTCCATTTTCAAGATTTCCATATGTTTATAGATCTACTTGATTTTAACGATTTTTGAAATTTAAAATTTTATAATTA